CTCATTGCAAGAAGCCAGGACATTCTAGTGACAAGTGTTACAGGATAATTGGGTTTTCTATTGATTTTCAGTTCACCAAGAGTCCAAAATTCAAGGTGGGGATCAAAAGCAATGCAGTCTTGGGGACTCCTAATGCTCAGCACACTGTGTTTGCTGAAATAGATGGGAACCCATTCTCCCCTCAACAGCTTAATTACTTACTTCAGATGCTTAAGCATGCTGATCTTAGAGACTCAGAGAAGTTGATATCACAAGTAGCAGCTAATATGGTTCAATGTGCTGGTAATGTTTTTCATAATCCTGTTGATTATGTGGGTACTGATTCTTGGATCATTGACTCTAGTGCCTCTAAGCACATGTCATATGACACTAAATTTTTCTCCAGTATTCATCCTCTTCCTTCTCCCTTAATTATCAGTCTTCCTAATTCTTTTAAGGTCAAGGTTATTCATAGGGGGTCAGTTTCCCTTTCATCCAAGTTGATTATTCATGATGTTTTGTTTGTTCCATCATTCAAAATAAATTTGATTTCTGTCAATAGATTTTGCAAACAGCATCACTGCCTGCTAAGTTTTTCTTCTACTCACTGTTTTATGCAGGACCTTTTAGTGAAGACCCCACAGGTTCTTGGTCAAGCTAGAAATGGCATCTATGTTCTCCAGTCACCAGTCTTTCCTCTTCAATGCAGTTCTAAGAATAGCTTAGGATTACTTTCTAGTCTTACAATTCCAGAATGTAATGCAGTTTCTTCTAGTAATGTAGTTTCTTCAAATTTCAGTTCTAATGTAAGACTATGGCACAACAGATTGGGGCATTTACCCTTCTCTTCAATGAAATCTATGAGTTTCTTTTCTTCTTTGCCTAAAGTTGATTGTCCTTGTGATATTTTTCCTATAGCTAGACAATCTAAATTACCATTTCCCAATAGTTCCCTTAAAACTACTCATAAGTTTGAGCTAATTCACATAGATACTTGGGGACCTTACAAGTCATCTACTCATGATGGTTATAGGTATTTTCTCACTATTGTGGATGATTTTAGTAGATGTAATTGGACCTATCTTCTTTCCACAAAGAGTAATTCCTTCTTTATGCTCAAACATTTTCTTTCTCTAATTGATAGGCAGTTCAATTGCAAAGTTAAGGTTGTTAGATCAGACAATGCTCTAGAATTGGGGAGTGGTATTGTAACCTCTGAGTTTCTTGCTTCATGGACACCTCAACAAAATGGCATTGTTGAGAGGAAACATAGACATCTTTTGGAAACATCTAGGACCCTTTTACATCAGTCTAAGTTACCTATTTGTTATTGGGGTGAATGTCTTCTTACTGCCACTTTTTTGATAAATAGATTCCCCTCCTCTGTTCTTAAAGGTATAACATCATATCATGTTATTTTTGGGAAGCCTCCTTCCTATGATTTTCTCATAACTTTTGGTTGTTTATGCTTTGCATCCACTCCTTCACAAAATAGGCCCAAGTTTGCTCATCGGGCCACTTCTTGTGTTTTCATTGGCTACCCTCAAAGCAAGAAAGGTTATAAACTCCTAGATCTATCTACCAGAAAGATATTTATCTCTAGAGATGTCTCTTTTCATGAGTCTATCTTTCCCTTTTCCTATAATTCTCCCACTTCTCCTCTTTTTCCCTCTTCTTCTTTTTCTCCAGACCTATTTGATTGTACTGTTCTTCCCAATTCTCAGCATATTCCTCTTCATTCAAATCCTCATTCCACTCCTGCTGAGCCTATCATTTCTACTGATGCTTCTGTTTCAAATAACAACCCCTCACCATCTATCATATCCTCTTCCCCTAGGAGATCAACTAGGACCAGCAAAGTTCCTAGTTATTTAGAGGATTACTTGTGCAATTCTATTGTCCTAACTGATCTCTCTTCACATTTTCTTGATCATGTTGTTCCATTATCCTTGCATGTTTCTGCTCTTTCTATTCTTAATCAACAGGTTCTTGAATCTATTTCTAACATCAGTGAACCACTTAGCTTCTCTCAGGTAGCTCAACATCCTGGTTGGCAACAAGTCATGACATCCGAGTTTGATGCCCTAGAGGCTAATCAGACCTGGACAGTAGTTGAACTTCCTGTTGGTAAGAGGGCTCTTGCTTGTAAGTGGGTTTACAAGGTTAAGCATCACTCAGATGGGACTGTGGAAAGACTAAAAGCTCGTTTAGTGGTCAGAGGGGATACTCAGCGCGAAGGAGTAGATTTTAATGAAACTTACTCCCCTGTAGTCAAAATGACTACTATCAGGTGTCTACTTGTTATTGTTGTTAAGAAAGGTTAGGTTTTGACTCAACTAGACGTCAACAATGCCTTTTTGCATGGCAATTTACAGGAGGAAGTGTTTATGAAGTTCCCTCCTAGTATGCAGAGTCCTAGCCCCACCCATGTTCTCAAGCTCAACAAATCTCTCTATGGCTTACGCTAAGCCTCTCGAGAATGTTATTCTCGCCTCACAGCTACTTTAAACTTCAAGGGGTTCAATTCTTCCCTAAATGACTATAGTCTATTTTTTAAATGAGTAGGAGATTCTATTTCAATAGTTGTCGTCTATGTCGACGACATCATTCTCACTGGAAACAATCCTTCCGAGCTTGCAGAGTTGAAACATTTCTTGAATAAGGAATTTAAGATTAAGGATTTAGGAGACTTACATTATTTCCTTGGTTTAGAGGTTATTCGGGAACCTCAAGGTATCATCTTATGTCAACGAAAGTTCGCTCTTGATTTGCTCTCTGAATATGACTGTGACCACCTCCCAGCGGCTTCTTCTCCTTTGGATCCTTCTTGTAAGCTTTCTTCTGATTCTGGTGAACCCATTGCTGACCCATTTACTTATCGTCGACTTGTAGGTAAATTGAATTATTTGACTCATACTCGCCCAGACCTTTGCTTTGATGTTCAACATCTTTCCCAATTTATGCAGCACCTTCGTATTCCCCATTTCACTGTTGCCCTTCGTGTTGTTTGCTATCTCCGTCGATCTTTTGCCCAAGGTCTGTTCTTTTTTTCAGCACTTTCTTTTTCTCTCCTCGCTTTTTGTGATGCCGATTGGGCATCGTGTGTTGACACTCGTCGGTCTATAAGTGGTTTCTTCATAAGCATCGGCGGTTCTCCCATCTCCTGGAAGTCTAAAAAGTAGATCTCTGTCTCTTTGTCCTCCGCCGAAGCGGAATACCGCTCAATGCGGCGACTTGTCACCGAATTGACATGGCTTCACCGTCTTCCCACAGATCTTTCCGTCTCACCTACCCTACATATCTCCATCCATTCTGATAGTCAAGCTGCTCTTCATATCGCCCGCAACCTTGTTTTCCACGAACGGATGAAGCACGTCGAACTTGACTGTCACTTCGTCCGTCAACAGTTCTCTGCCGACTTGATTTCCTTAAACTTTGTCCCTTCATCTTTTCAGCTCGCCGACATCTTTACTAAACCCTTGTCTGGTCCTTCCCACTCTCGTTGTCTTTGCAAGCTGGGTCTCTCTTCGATCCCCTCCAACTTGAAGGGGGTGTTGGATTTAGCAGTAACATTGTTAATAAAGAACAATGGATATTCAAGATGAATAGAGAGGCGGAAGAATCTGATTCAAGTGAAATGAAGACAAGAAGATGTATATCTTCTAGAAGGACAGATGGCACTATCTCATCCTTTGGATCAGGAAGTATTGGCATAAATCCTAGCCCTACACCTGCATAGGATTCTTTGTACAAAATATAGAATTAGTTATTCTTTGTTTTTACTTGAACAAATAATATTTAGCCAGCTGTATAGTTTGTTATTCTCTTCCTTAGTTTTGTTATTTTCTTTCTCTGCACAAATAGTTGTATATATACGTTGCCTTACAATGAAGGAATACAAGGAAAATTTCTCAATATTCTCTCCAGTTTTTTTACAATTTGGCCTTTGGGTCGATTTTTATTTATGAAAAAAAAATGGGTAACTTACCGAAATTTCAGTGTAGGACCTAATTAGATACACACTAGTTTGTAATATTATGAATCTTACTAAATTTTGGTGCGTCCAAATACATGTATCTCAGGATATATGAGGTCAAATTTATTTCAAATACATTGTATCCAAGTGAAATCGTATGTATCTAGGATACATAGACAAATCTCGTTTGCCTTCCTCCCATCTCGCTTTCCATTCGCATATTTCATTCGTGTATCTGGTATTCTAGATACATGCGAATCACACTAGACACATGTATAGTGTGTATCTAGTGTGATTAGCATGTATCTGAGATACATAGACAAATCTCGCTCGTCTCCCTCCCATCTTGCTCGTCACTCTCATAGCTTGCTTGTGTTTCTGGTATCACAAATACATGTGAATCGCCAGATACATGTATGTAATATGTATCTAGTGTGATTCACATATATCTGACTTGAAATATGGTATGAAATTACTAAATGGTGAAATAATATGTAACTATTTCAAACTATATGGAGAATTAGTAAATATGGTAGCAACATTGTATAATTAGGTAGTTTCTCCCCCCAAAAAAAACACAAACATGTCTGACCGGCCCAAAGAAGATCTGGCCCAAATCAAAAGTAAAACTCACATAAAAGAAGAAAAGGAAATCTACATGAGTCAAACTAGAGCTCAAAACCAAAAAGGTATTATGCTTTTCAAAGGAAATTGAATATGACTTTATAGTTTCTCAAATGACATATGTTGATGATTATGAATGCAGTTTGAGAAACAATATTAGATATAGCTATGCTCTGAGCCACCATGTATGTAGTCTTGACCGGAAGCTGAGTGTATAGACTTAGTAAGTCGGTCCACAATCACCCACACAGAGTCATATCTCTGGAAAGAGCATGGTAAACCAACCACAACAACTATATCAATACATTTCCACTTCCATGGAGTCCTTCCCACGTCTTGTCTTTGACCTGTTGACAATTTAGGCACTTGGACACAAATTCGTTGCATCCTCTACATCGGTGTATACTGTATATACATTGCATTTGACAAGACAAACAAGTATAAATCACTTTTATTGAGATTATCTTTACTAATTGCATAAGAATACATATATAGTATCTGTATAGGGCACCACAGCATACAATTTTATGCCATGATAACTTTTCCCTTATTGTGAAATATTTAACAAATCAATACAAGCTTCTTTCCTTCTATAATTTCTATTTTCCCTTTGGGAGTTTCTGATTTTTCATATCAATGATCTCAAAGAATAACTTCTATCAATGATTTTATATATCAATGTCGAAAGTATGGACATTTGGATCAAAACCACGGTTGTGACAGGTTTTGTCACAAGGGTAAGGGCAATCAATCTTCTGGAATGGATTTTTGTCGTAAAACCAGTCTCCGAGTGCTTTGGCTATAGTCTGCAGAAGACACATTTTTAGCACAGTCAGTGGTTCTACATGTCAAGACACTACGAATGGTCTACGCCAACAAGAAGTTAAACAAACATGTTAGAGTTCAGTTAATTTCTTACCTTGTTAGCTAACTTAGGAGAGTCAGCCCTGTACCATGTTTCTTGAACTTCAGTTTGACAGTGTGCAAAGCAGGAGTTGATGAAATACCCTCTCGATGAAGAAGGGCCGAGTGCATTTAATGCTCTCAGAAACAACAATCTGTAACCTGAGGAATGAGTCTTAACTGTCATAGATCATGAACAAATGAAAAATGTATCTTTTTCTATTTTGGAATGAAAGCTTCGACGTCATATTTTATCATCTAAAATTCAAATTCAACATAGAGGTATTGAGGGATTAGAGTCCTGACCATGCATAATTTGAAGCTGCCTGGAAGAGCATTTCAGTATGTCAAGTTTGCAGTTGAGCCAGAATCCATATGGATCAGCAACACCAGGAGCCAAAATGTTCTTTATCTGAATTCAAATAATATTAAGTCAGGAAAATCAAGTAATTTCATACTGTTTTCTACATTTATTGTTATTCATGGCATATTAAGTTATCGGATGAATGTGTCAGACCCATGGGGATCAGCAAGTCCAGGAGCCAAAGTGTTCTTTATCTGAAGTCGGATAATACTAAGTCAGGATGACCAAGTAATTCCACTTTGTTTTATACATTTATCATTGGTATCCATGTAATATGAAGTTATCGGATAAACAAGGCAATCTGGTGAGATCAGAGGCTTGAAAGGATCATCTCCATATTTAGCACAGGAACTTTAAAATCTTGACCAGATTGTTGATGGTGTTTCCTATTCTGAGATCATTCATGCTATGTGACAAGTGTCAACAATGACATATCTTGTCTAACGTTTGTGTCCCCGAATGCATGAAATGACTTGGAGAAGATGAAAAACAGATTTCAAGTACCTTTTACCAAAAAAGCCACCATATAGTATATAAAAGCGTGCTGCCCACTTAAATATCAAATCTTGCGGTAACAGTTTTAGGTGAGGTATTGTATCAGTTAACAAATACATCACAACAACACAGAAATGCAAAGTTCTCAAATCCAATGCAGCAAAAAAGGAGATAATTATAAAACAGTCGAGGATTGAAATATAGCAGAGAAAGGAAGTTCAAGAAGAGAAGATAGCATAATCCAACAGGAGTTGGAGTTTCCAGAAATGCTCTTTACCTGCCAGGAATCATAGGCTGCATTAACTAGGAAAAGTGGTGTCCGCACGTGTTGAGCAACATTTTGCGGGAAAAAACACTGCAAGATGTATTGGATTATTGTGTAAGATGCAACAAAGTAAAAGGCAGAAAACATATTATGAAAGCAACAGCTCTTACCAAATCCGGCTTCAATCTTGAGGTACACACTGGCGGCAGATTCTTGGCAGAACCCTGAAGCCAATATAAGATAAAATGAACATCATATTTATCATAAGTTTCTCCGTTGACTTCACTATTCTTCTTTTTCTAGACACAAGTAACATTAGAAAACGGAAGTTCATAGAAAAGGAGATAAAAAGTTATAGATTTCCAACATTTTGTTCTCCAAAGAGAAAAAGAAAGATTACATAACAATCTACAGGATGTTCACTTCACAAATAAGATCGAATAACTAAACCACGGATCACCCACAATAGGCAGTGACACATCCAGAAGATGAAAGAAATAATGTGGAGCTAGATACAACTGAAATTATAATTGAACTCTCATGAGAAGGATGTTAAAGAAGCATACATGTAAGCTGACAACATCTCTGAAGTATTCTTCAATATGAGGCGCACCAGAAATATCTTTCCTGCAATAAAGCAGAGAATTATATAAGCAGTCAAACGAAAGTAAAATTCTTGAAAACTTTAAGAGAACCAAGGTTTTTTTTTTTAGTAATTGGAGAACGTCATGATATTAATAAGCTATAAGAATGCTTACGCATCGATAAAATAACCAGCATCCGAAAAGCACTTTACTTTAGCACCCATTGGTAGGAGTGCTTTGAAGCTGTCACAATGTAAAATTGAAGTCAATCCGCCAGCTGAACATCCAGACAGAATAGCCTAACATTAGAACTTGATTTGTGAGCCAGTCAACAGTAAAGTGTTACGAGCGCCTAAGCATCTGAGATAAAGATAAGAAGGCAAAAGGCGGTACATTTTCAGCATTCTTCATTCCTTTTGCCAACAAATCCTCCATAACAGCAAGAAAAACCCGTGCCCCTCTGAAGTGAAGATTAGTAATCTGATATGTATAAGGGATTTCATCAGAATCATTACAGTTTTATTATGAGATATTGAGAGAATCATGGTTTAGGACTAATCAACAGTATCAGTATTAACTCGAAATTACCGGATTGACTGCTTGAACATCACCAGTAAAGGATGATCCATCACAATATCCAACCTTTACTCTGTTCCAGTTATAGAAGTCTACAATTTAAATAAGATGTAACACTGTTATTCAGACAGGAAAAATGTTGTTCATGAGAACCATCAATACGAAATCAATGAAAGTTCTACCTGGATTAAACTGAGGCAGGTTGCTGAGAATCCCTGAGAAAGCGAGATTTTCTACCATCTGCTTAGATGATCCCAAGCGAGTATTCTTCCGGGAAAGACAAGTGCTTATATTATTGCACCAACCTCCTCCCTGAAAATAAAAAAAATTTCATTGAATTTCAATACAAATACATCTTGTCCATTCAACATCTCATAGACATACTTCAAAAGGTTTCTGCACAAAAGCATCTTTAAATATTCTTCATAGATGTACCCCAGGCAATATGGCTGGTGAATTATAATTCTTTTATGACAAGGAATCCGCAGCCGCTACCTTTAGGGTGCACACAGGGTAATTCCCTACCGCGCAAACCACACAGGAGAGATAAACCACACTAGGCAAGCTCCATGCAACGAGCTTGACCGAGAAAGCATGTTGAGCGTCTCGAACCTGAGACCCCTCATTTGGGAGATCCCCTGCTCAACCAACTCAGTCACCCTTCACCCTTACAGGTTATGGCTGGTGAAATTTATAGATCATAAAGCCTCATCATCAAATTTTAAAACGTTTCTTTATATTATTCATGCATCATTTTCTCCTTCTGTATTTTACAAATCACTAGGGCAAGAACTCTACTTAGTTACCACAATATTGAAAACAAAAATCCAAATACTTTGTATTGGGATAGATATATGATCCAAAAAAATGCAACAACAATAAAGTTTTGCCAATTCTGTCTTTCGCATAGAAGTCTATCGATCAACAAGCCTAGTTATCTAACTTAAACTCTAGTCATAGAAATTGTGTATAGATAAACAAACCTCCATTTGGATTAACCAACTGTTAACCCCTGTACCAAATCCTTTGTCATGATGATATGCCGGTGGACTCCCATCCAGACATACTGCAAACACATAAATACCATCAAACTCAACACATTTCCACATTCATAAACTTAGCTCCCGTTTGACCATATATTTTGAAGTTAAATCTTGAAAAAATGAGTTTTTGAAGTCGCGATTTTTTAAATTTGTGCTTGACATACATTTTACTTAGAAAAAATGAAGTTTTGTGAGTGGTAAGTCCAAAAACTCGCTCACATATTTGAATATAAAATTTCAAAATCTATGGCCAAATGCTAGCTTAGTTCGAAACCATAAAAGGAAAACAATTTCTTTACCTGCTCCTTTTGCCACCCCACTGAGAACGTAAGTAATATTTACAAAGAGCCCTTCAGTTCTAAAAACAATCGACAAAGTAACAAATGAATATATCCATTGTTGCACAGTCCCATTTGACATTCTGCAAATCATTTATTAAAAAATAAAAAAATACTATCAATACACAAAGTTCTAAGAACATAAAGAAGCCACAGTTAAACAGAGCAAACTGACCAATCACAAACAAATAGTTTAAAAGTATTAACACATCCCAATTACATAAAGATTACATTTTTACACCAAATAAATATGTTTTTACCCATATTTAGCATCAAAATTGTACTTTAACAAAACCCCATGATAGAGAAAGTGACACCAATGCTACTAAACCCTTTTTATCAGAACAAAATAAAAATCAAGATTTTAAGAGAGAAAAAATACCTGAAAATGGCAATGAAGAGATTGAGAAAATCTCAAAATGGGATTTTTTGGGATGAAATTTTACACTGAATCCAGTTCAGTGTTGTTATTTTGAAGCTAAAACAAGCTCCAACAACAAATGTAGGTGTAAACTAAAACCATATGATAAAAAAAAATTCCAAGAAAATATTTGATTCAATTCCTTAAACAACTTTTTGTTTTGTTTGTAAAGAAAAAGAATGGATTTTTATAGAAGTGATTTTGCAAATACAGAACCCAAGAAATAAAGAAGCAGCCGACACTTATTCGCAGAGAAATTTTAATTTTTAAAAATGATTTTTTTATTTTTTTATTTTTTATTTTATTGGTATTTACTTCTTCTTTTTTGTTTGCTTGGGTGGTTGTTTTCTATTGGCTGCTGTCATAAACAGACATGCTTTGTTGAGTTGTTGGTATGATTTGATATATGACCCGACCCGAATGACATAAATTACGAATCTTATCGTTTTACGCGCTCCACATTGAATATTAATCCGAATGACAGTCGAAGAGTGAGAACGAAGAGCGGCTCGGTTTCTTCGTTATCTTATTAGAGTTCAATTAATTTAAATATATGTAGGATTCATTCATGAGATGCATTTGTTCAGACATATCGTAATGAAAGGAAAATAAGAGTTTGTCGCTAGATATTTCATCAAATAGTATCTCCGGTTTCTATAGAATCTATCGTTATAATATCTCTAGAGGGGGGATAAGGCTAAGTAGAGCAAAATAGATGCTATGGGTAGAATTCTTTTTTCTTTCTGAATTTAGTTCACATCTTAGATCTATAAATTGACTCATCTAGCTTATTTATATCCAACTACATGATGGAAGTCCCCTCGGTCAATCGTCACTCGATAGCTCAAAATTGACCATTATAACCCGCGTGCTTGCCTACTCATCTTTCACCAGCTTATTTGTACAACTACAATAATCTCTTCCCTTATAAAAGAATATCAAGGATTTTTTTTATACCCAAAATTTAATATCAAAATTTCTAATTATGAAAAAAATAGATCGACTGTACTATATCCTTTGGTGGTCAGGTCAACTTTTAAATTTTTTGTGCGTAATTATTCTTAAGCAATTTTGTCTAAAAGTATCTAACTTTGAAATAGCCCTTCCTAAGTACGTATATATACAAGGAACCATATAAAATAGTTTAGATGTGTAATTGCAAATTCGAAACAAGTTAAAGGGAATACATAATTTGTTTTCTATTTTTTGGTACCCTTACACTTGTAAAACATGCATAAAGGATCTTAAATACTTTGGGTTAGAGTTTTAGACGTAACTAAGCTCTCAACTTCTTTTGTTCTCTTGTTTGTAGCATTCTACAAATTTGAATCTTCTATCCATATTGAAACAAAAAGAGTTACGTTAAGTTAGTTGAGAATGTTGGCCACTTGTTGTTAAATCTTTTGCCGTGTTGCACCCATCCTCTTGGGTATAAAACCCTTGATTCCCTATCACGTGTGAATATCACATGTGACGTAAGTTTTGAACGTGTGAGGGGTATTGTTGAATGCTATATCGATCACTAAAGGAATTAGTGGTTCTTTTTATCTGTGGTCTTCGTCGATCCTCTTATTATTAGCTAGTTAGCTAGTTTTTGGGTTAAGACGATATTAAGTTAGGTCGAAGGTCTATTCTTTTTTACATGATATTTTAGGACTTGTCCTAATTCTTGGTTTATCAATGTTTAATGTTTGATGTAGAGTATCACATAGTCTATTAAATTGGTCAGTTCTCTTCTATGGACTATATTTTGAAGGTTGAGTTAAGCGCAATATTCATTTCTTTACAAAACCAAAGATACTTTTCAAGCAAATGCAAATGAATTCTCACATCAGTTATTAAAAGAATGTAGACTCGCAAGAGTCTCAATGATCGATCATCTGCTCCTCATGAGAAACGAAATACTAAAGATACGTACGTGTACATGTTAAAACATAATTTGAGTAACTAATTAAGCCGCATTATTGGGCTTAAGAAATTAAAATGGGATTACATGTATAATTTTTATCATATCTAGTACATACTTAAGCCAAATGTTCATAATTCAAATACATCACAAATTTTACTAGTTGTAGTTTCACTTGTACCTTAGTACTCCACTAGATAATGCATCTCCACCCTCTCAAGAAAAAGGTAAATTCTGCCTATTTGTACCTTAAAAGTTATTTGTTCTCTTACATCATGCTATGTTATTTGTCCCATAAACTTTTGTCTCAAAAATTGCTTTTGGTAATTGGCACTCTGTAAATTAGGATACTCGTTTATTAGACACTTTTTCTAATTTTAAATATTAGGCTGGAGCATAACTTGCATTTCCAAAGTTAACTCAAAAGGCGGAGAATTGTTTGGGAGAATGGAGATCTTCATCTCATTAACTATTAATGTAGAATTTTTCATTCTTCACCGATAAATTACTTCTAATCACAAGTATGAAGAAAATACTTTTCATTGTTCGAGAGGCAACGTGAAAATACAAGGAAATAGTCTATATCACTTCCAATTCTCTTTCACAAATGATTTAACAATAACTTAAATATTTTCGTCCACACAAAAAATACAACTTATATCACTATAACAAATAAAGAATTTACTGGCAATTAATTAATAGAAATAATATTATTGCCGCTACATTATGTTTAGCGAAAATAATAAATATAATATTTATAACCAACATTTTATGTAAATGTCGTTTAGACTTTAACAATTTTAAATACAATAATATTAACTCAATTATTACTAAAAATAAAATCTATTAGTATTAAATGTCTCTTTTGTGGTAGACTTGTAGTGTATTACTTCTAATTTATTTTCACCAACAACTAGCAATAATTTAAATATTTCGTCCACTCAAAATGCACCCAAATATCACTTATAATTTTCTTTCACAACCGACTAGCAATAGTTTGTTGTTTTTCATTCAAATTAGTAGACCAGACATTATTATTATTATATATACATAAATGCATTCAATTGTTTTATATTGTTGGGGTTGTGAAATAAAATAGTTTGTTAACCGTATTAAAATGTAAAATATGTATATGAAATAGTAATATTTAATCCATATATACAATATATTGTCGAGAAGAAAATATGTGAACACGAGGATGACGGTGATTAATTAAATTAATACACTTGAGAATTAAGAGGGCAGCTGTCACTCACCTACTGGATACTTAAAAGGTAGGCCCCTTCTGGTGCATTCACTTTTCGGCGCGTAAATACAATCGAAAAATAAAATGATAACACTTTTTTTGAGCGGAAAGTATTTCAAATATAATTTCTCTATATTTATAAATAGGAATGAAATTTGTACTATATATTTTACTCCTCACTTGTCGAACTACATTAAATATGTTGTTGTTATTATTATTTTTAAATTTTAGAATATTTTTTTTTTCAAATGAAATGATAATTAAAATGAAACGGAGTAGAGTACTAATTTATTTATTTTTCCTTTTGAGGATTCCTTTGCTCACTTTTACCCAACCATAAAGACAATTCCCTTGTTTTATTTAATTTTCAATAATTTATTAATGTTTTGAAAACGGGTGGGTCGGGCAACGTGCCCTAGGTGTTTGGTTGTCTCGCTTTGATAGAGCATTTGTCATTTGTAAATTGCATGTGAAAACAAATGATTACTTAAAAGGCCTTTTTCCTCTCCCAAGAATTGCTACAAAGTTTTCGAATTCCAATGCCCAAGTTACGAATCAAATTTCAATTTTTATAATATCATATATATTTTTTTTAAATCTTATTCGACATTCGTATTTAAGTCCGATTAATTTAAATTTATATCGCATAAAGCCTCATTGGAGGGGAATTGCTTCCTATCAAGTATGTTTTAATATCTAAGATTTGAACCAAAAACTTCTAACTAAGAAAATAATTTTATCCACTCATTCCACATCATTTGATATTGGTGTAATATACCATGAATACAATAAATTACAGTTGAAATAAAATGAACAAAAATGAATAAACAAATCTTTAAGTTGAGGCGCAGATATCTCATTCTCTTTAAGGAGGTTCAAGCCCACTACGACATAATCTACATCGATCCAGCAATATATCTCTTGATTTGTCCCCTCCATGACACAACATTCCAACAATGTCGTACAACTCAAACAACTCTGGATTAGTTGAAGGGTGCAAAGCTCCACAAAAGAACACATTTCTTCAACATAGAAATATTCTTTTTATATAATAAATTGTTAAATTAGACTAAACCCCTCTGATTCAAGTGAAATGAAGACTCAAAGGGACAATAATTGCTCAAGCCTTATAAGGAGTCCACCTATCTCATTAATTACCAATATGAGACTTTTGTCATTCTTTAACACCCCACCTCACGCCCAGTGCTTAAGCATCTGGTGCGTGGGCAATTTTGATTTTTGGGGGCCCCAACATTGGGTGAGATGGGCCCTGCTCTGATACCATGTTAAATTAGGTTTTATGTCTAACTCACACCCCAAAAACTAGCTCAAAGGGAGGAGGATTGCTCAAGCCTTATAAGGAGTCCACCTATCTCATTAATTACCAATATGAGACTTTTGTCATTCTTTAACATAAATATAGTTGAAGGCTTAAAATATTTTGCTTTATCCCAACTCTCATGACAACTATCGGAACAAAAAATATATTATGAAAACCTCGGGCTTTCTTGATGAATTTATTATTCATGTATCTGTCAGTGTGCATATACTAAGTTTAGGTTCTCTTCATTCTATGAAGGATGTCAGATTGTTATATATTTTTTTGAAGGATATATGTTAATAAAATATAGTAGGTCACATACTATGGATTTTCCTGCGTATAAAAATTAGTAACACATGGATGCTAGGTTCAGATTCCTGCTTAAAAAATAATTTCAGGTATGTGTTCCATGTAGTTTATTATTTATTATAAAATACTTTATTTGTCCAAAATAATTATTTTTCCGTCCCAATTTATATGGTATTTATTGTTTCCCGTGAGTTAAACAATTTAGTTTTGATTGTGATTTCGGGCCTTAAATATTTAATTTTTTTGAAATAAAATTTATATATTCGAAAACTATATAAAAATTATTATAAATCAAAATAAATGACAATTTAGAATATTTAAAAGACATAAAAAAAAATTATTGTCAAAGATAAACTTGTTTAAAATCTTGAAATTAAATTCAAAAAATGTCACATAAATTGAGACAAATCAAAAGTAATATTTAGGTTTGTGCGTATAGATTAAGGA